GTACCCATTGGATAAGAAGCTGGGTGGGCTACAGAGCTGGTCTGGACGACATGGAGAAGAGAAAATTGTTGACCCTACCAGGACTCAAACTCCAACCCCTTGGTCGTCCAGCCCATAGACAGTCACTATACTAACCGCACCATCCCAGCTTTATGTAACCTGGACAAAAACACACAGTTGTGCAATGTAAAAACATGCAGCAAGTGCTCCAGAACTACTTACTTTGGATGTGAACAAACTGGAGACGAAACATACAAGTCATGTGCCATGGACCTGGAGGGAGTATAAGGTATGTTGGCTAGTGCTACACTCTGGGGGAGTGTTTGCAAAACATCTCGCCTGCAAACCGACATGCATACTCATATACACCCTTTTCACACAGAACATGCAACACACATAACATGTAACATATCCAGTACAGTTAATTGCGAGTGAAAACCATTTTCCCTTTCTCCATCACACACATTAGGCATATGCAAAGTCTTGAATTATCAAGACTAACTTGAGAAAATATATTACTCTTGATTCCAACATTCATTTTCCATTCACAAACTTGGAGAATCATCTGATATCAAAAGAGATAAGTATCATATTTACCTAAATGGAAGAGGTTTTTCTATTGTGAGAGTTACAGAACTATGGGTTGTCATGAATTCAACTGATATATATATTTCTTATAAGCTTTTAGTGGGTTCATGCCAAAGTTCATGTTACACTGTGCTACAAGAGCAACAAGCAAGAAAGCAGGAGACGGAAGTATGAATCAAAGTTAGAAGCAGTAAGCAGCTATGAGTTTACCCAAAGTACCATCAAAAAGCAGTAATATTCTGTGTCAACATGACAGTCTTTCACCATAAGAATGACATATCATGTTGAGAAAAGAGACGCTTGTGCAAATGTGCAAAAGGGAATAATGCGTCAAAAACATCAAGTGTAGTAGCTACAAAGCAAACTTCAGATTCTGGTGATTAAACATGTAAAACAAAAGAACAACTACAAAGCAGTAATAAAATATTGTGTTTCTGAAGCTAACGTCTGAAGAGGAAGTAACAGGAACAGAAATTAAAGAATGTCAATTTCGTGCAAAAATTGCTCCCTTACATACTTGTGTTCAGTGTGAACTTCTCAAAAAATCCATTTAAGTATGCTAACTAAGAAAGAAAATGTTACTAGATTTTCCTCTCCTAAAAACAGTGCTGTTACTTCTTGCAAGTTGTGAACATGAGTCACAAGGTTTCTTCTTGACAGCCAATGAGAGTTGCAGTAAAACAAGAGTAACTGATACTGTGCCCCCATTTCCTTGCATGATTCTGCAAAAAGTCTCCTTTCCAAGGGGTGAAATTTTATGTAGTTTCCAGTTTTGATCACTGTGTTCATCATGTCACTCAGTTTTGGGCATAATTCCTTCATAGGGAGTGATTCATCATGTATCATACAGGGTGTCCATATAGCTTCTGGTGCTCATTGTGTAATTAAGGCCTGAAGTTCTTCTCTATTTCCCGCCATCATGAAAACTGCATCCATGCATACTTCAATAAAATCTGACCATTTTATGCTTTTTTCTTTCATGAAATCATCAACAATTTTGAATGGTATTTTTGCTGTTTCTTTTCTTTTTATAGGTTGTAGAAAAGCATGTCTTTATTACTTGTTGTATCTTCAACATATCATACATAAGCTTTCAAGCGACCAATACCACTGCAATCAGTTGCTTTGTCAATCTCTGTTGAAAAAAGTTCCTCAGCTTCTCAATCAACTGTTATTCTAAGACTTCTCATAGAACAGCAATCTGTCGAGAGACCATGTTATTTTATAGCAGCGTATCAAAAAGCTGCTGAGCACATTTTTCACTGAACATTGTTTGTACCATGTCTATCGCAGAAGGGAGTACCAGTTTCAGCGATCGTGTGCAGCTTCTTGTTCTACGCTATTCTGTATGAGACTTAATAATCCCTTTCTATGGAAGTATTCTTCTGGCTTGTTTTTCATTTCTGAATCATTTGTTTCAAGGTTCTGTTTCAGTTTATTTAGTTTCAAACTACTAAGAAACTAAGAAACAAAACACACCGAGACCATTTTTCACTGTTAATTATAACACTCATGAAACCCAGAGACAAATATGGGCCATTGCACTTATGTGATTTTGGTTTTGATACACAACATCAACTGCAATTGCTTTAGGTTTGTTGTCTGGTTTTCTTCTTATGCCTGCCAAAAATCTGTGCATTACTCCGTTTCAGACACTACCAATTAGTGCTTGATACTGGACTGTAACAATTACACATAGTAAATGTTACAGGATGCATGTTTTCATCTGTACACTATGGAACTAAAGTGTTTACATGTTAACACACCGTATTGTATCACTGAAGTATTTCTACATCTTAACACACTGCAGTACGTGGTGTGTTCAAAAAGTATCGAACCTTTGGTCGGCAGAAATACATTTATTGATCTGGAGGTACAAAACCCCAATCCCCTTGAAAGTAGTCTCCTTGGTAATGCACACACTTCTCCCAGCGCTTCCACCATTGTTGGAAACACTTCTGGAACGCGTCTTTTGGAATGGTGATCAGCCGGGCCGTTGCATTCGGCATGATGTCTTCTCTTGACTCAAATTGGGTTCCTTTCAGTGGCATTTTCAGCTTGGGAAATAGCCAACAGTCACACAGAGCTATGTCGGGGGAGTAGGGAGCCTGATGAACCACAGGGATGTTGTGTTTGGTGATGAAAGTCTGAATCAGATGCGCAGAATGGGCGGGTGCATTATCATGATGGAGCTGCCAAGTAGTTTCAAATTCCTCCGGTAGATGGGGAAGTATCGGGCACCACTGCCAGAGAGGTGGCCGACCTCGCTGGCAGGATGGGGCTGATAGCGAGCACCAGTACCGGAAGGGCATGGCGACTGGTAGAATATCAAAGGGGGACGTACAATAGACTATTAGTCGCGTTGCATGAGGAAACCAGTCCCCTCCAATAAAAATAAAAAATAATAATAATAATAGTGTACTGAACAGCTAACTGGACACTATACAAATGTAATGGAGCAAAGGGTC